AGATAGGCCTTTAGTGACCAGGGGTATTACTTGCTGTGACGCTAGGGGTAGCAGGATCATGCTATCACACTATTTCCTGCAGTGACCCAACAGGTAGAAGGCTGGGCATGCACATACAGAGCATATGGATTGTAAGGATTAATATGACATTGACTAACATATCACTCCTAAAAAAGTTAATGTGACACTAACATTCCATCACTGAAATGGTTAATGTACAACTCTGCTATCTTGTACTTCCCCATGGATTTACTTGCACTTACCCTAGGGGTAGCAAGATTATGCTATCACACTATTTCCTGCAGGGACCAAGGGGTCACTGGGTCAAGGGGTAATAATATTTAAAAGGTGGTTGGAAACAAAAAAATGTTTTTAACATTTTTATTTCCTCTCGTTTTTAGCGCTTTTAAATTCAGACTTTTATATTGTATAAATATGTTTGAAAACATTTTAAATTTTTGCCTTTAAGCAAAACATAATAATTCTTAATACTTATAGTATAATTAGATAAAGGTTAAATATTTCTAAATTGCATAAAGTGCATTAAGAAACAAAAAAAGACATCTACAATCATACCATTCATATATACAAAAGTAGGGGAGGACCATTGCGAGAAACTGGGATGTAGAAAACCTGTTCTACTTAACAAAGTAGACAAAAGTCAGACAAATCAAATATCGGAGCAGGTATCACCTATTCACACTTGATGGGTTTAAAAACATAGCATTATATATTGACAAAATTCAAGAGGTCTTGGTATTTCTTCCAAGAAAGCCACCAAGCTTCACATTTTTCTGCTGTTTCTCTCGCTAAATAGAAACTATGCTCCATCTTATATCATTAGGACATTTGGTTACATATTGTTAGCCAATTTATATCTGAAGATTTCCATCTATGCGCCAAATAAGATATGGGTTATTCTTTACTTTTTTTTTTTACTATTGGGGAAATCTATGTTCCATAAAAAAATATAATGCATAATCTCAGAAAATGAAAATAGTTTGAATAGACAGAATTTAATTTGAGACTTTATGAAGTTTAGTCTTGTACATTCCCACCAAATATGTAAAACATGTCCTTTCCCTAAGTGGCTTCTCCAACAGATGTCCGAATTATTTCTAGAGATCCTATTAAGTTTTGTAGGAACTTAAAAACATCTATATAAAAGTTTATGGTGAAGTTCCAATTTTGAAATACAATCAGGGTTCTAAAGAACCAGTTTAATCACAAAATGCTATTCATTTAAAGGAAAATGATTTCTAGCTTGAATTCCCATCCACTTAGATGGGGGGGAGGAGAGTTATTATCTTCTAGTCTGGTGTTTTTTTTTTTGAGAAATGTCAAAATCTTAGATAGAATATATGTTTACTGAGAGGTAGAAATTTGAAAAAGTTCATCAACCGAGTAATGTAAGAGTTTTGTTATGCCCAACATATAGTTTGTAATAGACCCTCTGTCTTTGATTTGTAAAGTGTGAAAAACCGTTCGTTTGAACCATTCATTTAAACTGCATGAGCCATCTGTTATATTAAAAGCCATTCGAATCACAAATTTTCTTTCGAACGACCAGTCACCCAGAACAGGAGTGTGGCACTCATTAACATCCCTGACCCGTGTAATACCTCTAAAACCACAAACACCTCAACGTTCTACGTGCTGTACAGGGTGGTCGACGTTCAACTGCATGAACACGAGGTGGCGGCCATTTTGTTTAGTCAAACGCACTCAGCGGTGTTTGGTCATCGAACACGGGGAACTATTTTCGGCTACTTTTCCCACGAACACCGCTGAAACTTCTACCTTCCGTGCGTTCGGCTAAATTAATACGAACAGAGTGCTATTTCTAGGGAATAAACTCTCGAACAAGCCGCATCTAATGACAGTAGGCAGGAAGTGATCCATTTGTGCAATTTGTAAATATGTGAAAGAAGATAGACCGACCGCACAGCCTGAATCTGTGGAACTGTTTTAGGTATGAAAACATGTGTGCGCTCGGTCAAAAGAAACTTTCTCCTATCTCCCGAACCCCTGAACCGATTCAAGTGATTTTTGAATATGTTTGTACCCTAGTTATGCTGGTTCTGAAAATATACATTTTATGAAGATTGGATGTATCATCGTGAAGTTATAAAAAGTATATTTTTTCACTTGGAGATAATTGAGTTGATACAGTAATTAACTCAATTATCTCCCAAGCAGAGGGGAGGAATTTACTGTAATAAGTGGGAGTGTTTATCTGTAAATAAGGGATTTATCATGCGGCTTGCAATATCAATTTGATACTCTGTTTCTACTGCTGCACTCTATTTTCCTATTCATTAGGGGGTTGGATCTAGGTGCCCTTGAAGGCACGGGTGGGCTATTTAGTCCGTTCATCTTTATTAACTATCTCTCTTAAAATCTGCCTCTTTCCCTCCTTTTATAATTATCATCCTTATTAGGGAGGCTGGCTCTAGGTGCCTTTGAAGGCACAGGGGGAATTTCTCCACAGTGAAGCGCCAAGCATTTCCCTTTATTCTGGGAGTGGGATATATTAACAGTACCCTCCTAATATCATCTTTTTTTGTCCATTCAAAAGAAATTACCACATCCAGGGATTTCCTCTGTACACTGTTAGGTCAATGTATAGCAAACTCAGAGGGCAACCAACCTAGTTATAATCTCTGATGAATGGTTACAAGTTACGATTCATCTACTGAGTCTGTTTAAACCTCGTATATAGGCTCTCTTTATTCAAGGCAGTTTACTCTCTTTATTCAAGGCAGTTTACTCGATATCCACATACAGGATTCATATCCCTCATCCCTCCCCTTTGCATACTTTATGTTTAAAGGACCACTATAGTGCCAGGAAAACATACTCGTTTTCCTGGCACTATAGTGCCCTGAGGGTGCCCCCACCCTCAGGGACCCCCTCCCGCCGGGCTCTGGAGAGAGGAAGGGGTTAAACACTTACCTTTCTCAAGCGCCCGGCGGGGAGCTGTACTCCTCCTTGCTCGCGATGTCATCGGCTGAATGCGCATGCGCGGCAGGAGCCGCGCGCGCATTCAGCCGGTCGCATAGGAAAGCATTTACAATGCTTTCCTATGGACGCTCGCGTGCTCTCACTGTGATTTTTCACAGTGAGAAGCACGCAAGCGCCTCTAGCGGCTGTCAATGAGACAGCCACTAGAGGCTCTGGAGGCTGGATTAACCCTCAGTATAAACATAGCAGTTTCTCTGAAACTGCTATGTTTATAAAAAAAAGGGTTAATCCTAGAGGTACCTGGCACCCAGACCACTTCATTAAGCTGAAGTGGTCTGGGTGCCTATAGTGGTCCTTTAACACACGTTTCTGTTTAGCACAGACGTGAGCTGTAACAGTAAATCTATTGAGTGCAATACTAGAACTTTCTCAACCTTTAGTTATCAAGCTAGTTTAATTGATTTTATTATCTTTCCTATTTTTTTGTACTTTTACACTTTACCTAGTTTGTGTGTTACACTTGGGTGATTGCCAATTTTCTTTAAGCAATTTTTAAACTGATTAAATAAAAAATTTTTTGCTTTCTAAACCGTATGGTCAGCCTTCCGCTTGGTACTCTCGTTAGGTTTCCAGTACCTTAATACGGGTATACTACTTCTATTTTTTCTTTTGATTCCACTAGGGGTTACCCCCCTCTTTTGTAGTATACCTCAGCGAGCCGTACTCTATTTGTTTCTTGATACAGAAATTAACTCAATTATCTCCCAAGCAGAGGGGAGGAATTTACTGTAATTAGTGGGAGTGTTTATCTGTGTGCCTGTCCATTATTGGTTGTAAAGTTTGTAATTTTGGTGCCCAACAAGGTCCACGTGGGTGGTAAACTTGTTGGGAAATGTGTATAAAAGAAAGGCTTGTGTGCCCAGTAAATCAGTTCTACTTCACCCTCAATCTAGAGTCTCGTCTCTTACTGGGGGAAACTGCTCTACAGCTATCACACTAGCTCTTTTAAGAGCTTCTCCACGTGGATGACTACTGGATGCTGAGAATACCCCTCACTCATCGGGAGAAGGACACCCTCCAGCGGTAGAAACCCCTCTACTCACCGGGGTAACTGCTACATAGTTCTTTACACAGCCCATCCACTGGACCACCAGGGAATGAGAGCCCCCTTCCCTGGCCAGCTAACAAGCAGGGAGGGGGAACGAAAAAATAAATACAAATTTAAATAATAATAAAATATTACAAAAATAATAATAATAAAATAAAAATAAAATATGAATATAATAATAATGATTAAAAAATAATAATAAAAATGCCCACCCCCCACCAAGGCTCTGCATCACACACACAAACTGCATTCATACACACACTGCACTCATACACACACACACTGCACTCATACACACACACACTGCATTCATACACACACATACTGCATTCATACACACACTGCACTCAGACACACACACACTGCATTCATACACACACACACTGCATTCATACACACACTGCACTCATACACACACACACTGCATTCATACACACACTGCATTCATACACACACTGCACACACACACACTGCACTCATACACACACACACTGCATTCATACACACACTGCATTGCATTCATACACACACTGCATCATACACACACACACTGCACTCACACACACACACTGCATTCATACACACACATGCATTCATACACACACTGCACTCAGACACACACACACTGCACATACACACACACACTGCATTCATACACACACACTGCACTCATACACACACACACTGCATTCATACACACACACTGCACTCATACACACACACACTGCATTCATACACACACTGCATTCATACACACACTGCATGCATACACACACACACACACTGCATTCATACACACACTGCACTCATACACACACACACTGCATTCATACACACACACACACACTGCATTCATTATATACACACACTGTAAATAAATATTCAATTAATATAATTTTTTTGGGATATAATTTTATTTAGAAATTTACCAGTAGCTGCTGCATTTCCCACCATAGTCTTATATTCCAGTCAATACGTTTTCCCAGTTTTTTTGGGTAAAATTAGGGGTCTCGACTTATATTCGGGTCGACTTATACTCGAGTATATACGGTATATATATATATCAACTATTAATTAGTTTGAAGTGTACATTTAAACTTTACTGTTCAGTTATACTCATACTGTTATCTGGCGCAACCTGTGTTTCCTTTGCAGTTCACGGTACCATCTTGGATTTTTATAGGGTCTCCAAGGTACAGAGTTTTGCTCCCTTTGGAGTCATCGCTGTATGTTTTTCATAGATTATGTTAACCCTTCATATGATGCTGAGTATCTTTTAAATATATCAAACTTGCTAATTACACCCCATCATAATTCTAGCTCAGTCTAGATACACATTACAGCAGAGAAGGAGAAACAAGATAATTGTTTAATTTCTGCTCTTCTCTCTAGGCATTCTCTGTGCTGATTGTAAGGTGCAGAGGACAGAGCTTATAATGATGACTGCCAGGGAGTCAAAATGGAGGCGCTCATTAGTACGATAAAATGATGCAGATTTGTACTTTTCATTTTTATTTTTCCCAATCTACAAATACATATTTTAAACTATAAGGGATAGATAAACATAACATTAAATTTAAAAAAGTGACCATTCAAATTTTATTTTTCCCCCTGCTTGGCATTAATCCACCAGCAAGAGTTTACATGATACAGGGACATTAAGGATATAGAAATACAAATAAATATCCGTGCATACAATATTTATGCTTATAGTGTTGGGAAAGCACTATTATCACTATTATATCAGTTATACTATTCATAACCTTTTTTCGACACGCTTTGATAATTTTTTTGCGAAGTGCCTAGCACACTGTTCTGTTGTTATTAACGATATATGAAAATGCAAATAAATGTTAGAGACCAACCATATATAATGTTGGAAAACCTGCACATATGAGAAAAGAATTACTTAGTTACAGATTAATATTCTAAACAAGACTCTGGAACAAGACCTTTGCAACCCAAACGATCAGCAGTGACTATTGCAAAATAAACACGAAAATACGAACGAGTAAATACGAACAGCATGACCACACACAAAGTTTGCTTAATGCGTAAGTAAAGCAATTTCTAAACAAATGCAGAGATAATAATAATCAGTGCTACTTTAGGGATTTTATCAACCCCTTGGGATTTGTGAATGACAAATATTTTGGTGATTTTAAACTATGTAACACATTGTATATGGCTTTTACTATGAATCTTGACTATTTTCCATTGCTAGCTATACTAGAAATTAATAATCTAATTTTAGATACATATCTATTAGATCAGGCATTGTTTCATTTAGCCTTATAGCTTTACGTGGTTTCCACATTAAATATGCAACATAAAGTGAAGCAATCTATCCTCAAGTCATTTTTAAGAATGATTTGGATAAGCAAAGGTGGCATTTCAAAAGTGCTTAGTGATCTTTCATTACAATGCTATTTAAATACAGCAGGTTTGTTAAAACTTAATATATACACGCAAACAGTTTTTCGTTCCATTATAGTTTAGTTACCTGGTTTTAACTCCTGAAAGCTATTAGCTGCACTATCAGTACTTTCCGATGACATGTGCAATAGGGTCAAAAATAGAGCTGTAATACCTGCAGTAATCAACATTTTAGAATATGGAAAATGGGGCAGTGGTGTCAGAGATAATACGCAGAGTATTGCAAAACTTCTTATTTTTTTATTTTAATGTTTAGCGTTTTTACTGGCTCTTTGTTTTTCTTTGATTGACCTTTTGTTCCTGATTTCATTATGGTTTTTTGGAACCGCAACAAATCTTCGTCTTTTAAGGAATCCTGGGATACCCATACGGTTGTCCCATAAATATTCAGGTGAAAGGAGTTTTGTTGGTTTGTAATAAATAAAGTATTTGTTTAAATGGCTCTCTTCATGCCATAGTGCTTCAATATTTTTCTCTCTGTCTGCCATTATGCCATTATGGCAGTAGTTGGTCAATTTGTATATTTCCTCTGTTGTACCCCCAAAGTAACCTGCTGCGTAATAAAAATCCCCCTCATCAGGTGGAATGTAGGCTCTAGACTGTGGCCGGCGTTCATAAGTAAAACTCTGTCGAGGTGCGTTATAGTAACCAGGATGTATGGTCCCAAACAATTCACTTAAGCTCTCTACACCAACATCGTCACTGAACTGCATGTCAATATCCGCCACAGCCAGGTAGTCAACCTCATTGATGAATCTGTCACGAGTATAATTGCGAATCATCTCCATGCGTCTGAAGCAGATATCCTGCCACCTTTTGTACGTGGGAGATTGTAGGGTAAATAACTGTCTCCCTTCACCAAGTTTAAAATTGTACTGGCGTACCTCCTCGACTCGATCGGTGAGTATGTAATAGTTGACTTTATATCCTACCATGAAGAATTTTTCAGCGGTTTCTATGAATTGTTTAAGGAACACTACATACCTGAAATAAAAGGACATAGATGGATAAATCAGTTATGAATAAAAAAAAAAAATTAAAGTTTCTACATAAATAAGTTAACTGTGATTTTGCTATAAAGATATATAACATCAGCTGTAAGATGGCAAAATCTCCTAACTGAGAGTGCATGTTTTTATAGATTTGTGTAAAGTGTCAATTTTTTAAAGGACAACTGTCATCAAAGTTTTAATTCTGTTTTTTAAAAGTGTCTTATATTTAATGAAACGTTATGATTTTTTAAAAATAATATACATTTAATTTTGGAGAAATGTTACTTTTTTTAATCAGTCTGAGCAGTCATGTTGGGTAAGTTTCTATAGTTGACTGATACATAGAGTGGTTAGTGCACAATGCTCAGGAGTAATTCTTGACCATTCCTTTTTACAGAACTGTTTCAGTTCAGCAATATTCTTGGGATGTCTGGTGTGAATCGCTTTCTTGAGGTCATGCCACAGCATCTCAATTGGGTTGAGGTCAGGACTCTAACTGGGCTACTTCAGAAGGTGTATTTTCTTCTGTTTAAGCCATTCTGTTGTCGATTTACTTCTATGCTTTGGGTCATTGTCCTGTTGCAATACCCATCTTCTGTTGAGCTTCAGCTGGTAGACAGATGGCCTTAAGTTCTCCTGCAAAATGTCTTGATAAACTTGGGAATTCATTTTTCCTTCGATGATAGCAATCCGTCCAGGCCCTGACGCAGCAAAGCAGACCCAAACCATGATGCCCCCACCACCATACTTCACAGTTGGGATGAGGTTTAGATGTTGGTGTTCTGTGCCTTTTTTCGCCACACAATGTGTAATGTATTACACATAGGAAACTGAAATAGTGTATTTATTAAAATTCTAATAACATTGTGGATTCTAGGAGACATTTCAATCCAGTTAGAAGATTTTTTTCAGGCGTAGTGGAAAAGATATTCAAGATAGTAATTTGCATTGTGTTATACATTTGCTGTGACACCACAAATTAGAGATATGCATGGGCAAAAAATGTGGTTTGGTTCGGAAATTCGGTTAAGTAAAAAAAATTCGACACTTTCGAAATTCGTCACTTCGGCAATTCGGGACTTCAGCAATCTGTACATCTGTTGGGCTCCCTAACCCTTAACCGCTAACCTTAACCCTAAACCTACCCACTACAACCAATTACATATCTATAGGGTTCCCAGTGCCCAGACTGCCACTACAACCACTTACACATCTCCAGGGCTCCCAGTGACAGGATTGCCACCACAACCATTTACATATCTATAGGGCTCCCAGTGCCCGGACTGCCACCACATCCACTAACACATCTCTATGGCTCCCAGTGCCCAGACTGCCACCACAACCACTTACATATCTATAGGGCTCCCACTGTATTACACTGTGTTATAATGTATGGATCAAACATTGTGTATTATACTATTATGATAATGGATAGATCAAATAGACCGGGCATTGTATATTATACTGTGTCATAATAATGTATGGATCAAATAGAAGGGACATTGTGTATTATACTGTGTTATAATAATGTATGGATCAAATAACACTGTGTCATAATGTATGGATCAAATATTGTGTATTATACTGTGTTATAATAAATATATGGATCAACTTTACTGGGCAGTGTAGTATACTGTTATAATAATGTATGGATCAAATACTGTGTATTATACTATAATAAAGTATGGATCAAACAGTGTATTATAGTGTCATAATTATGTATGGCTCAAGCATCGTGTATTATACTATTCTAATAATGTATGGATCAAATAGACTGGGCGTTGTGTATTATACTGTCATAATAATGTATGGATCGAATAGAACAGACATTGTGTACTATACTGTGTTATAATAATGTTTGGATCAAATATTGTGTATTATAAATACTGTGTTATAATAATGTATGGATCAAATAGGGTTATTTACTAAACTGGAACTTATGTATTATACATACTGTGTAACAGAGGTTCTAATTAGTAAGAGTTCCTTTATATGATATTTCTTACAAAACAATACAGCATGCCATACATGTATAGATGCCGTCTGGTCAGCAATAAAAAAACTTGTTTTGTCTGGCAGAACTTGCTTGGAATGCAGAAGAAAGTCAGCACTAATTTTATCTTCAAACCTGGGTTTCCTAAACTTGCCAATGATAGAATTTTTAGAATTGAGTCTTGTGAGCTCTGCATGGGGGTTTCACAAGGAGCTATGTAATAGAAGGGTTATATTCACTAAACTGTGACATGATGTAACTGACAACCATCTGGCTGTAGAAAATGATAATGTGGTAACACACTGATTTGTCGTGTCCATAGAACATCTTGGGGCAATGTCAATGCATATTTCAAGTACTACGGGGCTAGCTGTGATATGATCTCTCTTCTCCTTTTGCAGACAATAATACAGCACTAGTCTAGAATAAAGAGTATCGGTCACCTGGCTCTAGTGTATAGCGCTCTGTGATCTTATTAGGGGAGATCAACCATCCACTAAACGTACATCCTTCTGGTTTCTTCCTCCTTTGTATATATGGAACAGACAGGAAGGTCCCAATGATGGAAGGATCCACACTTTATTGTAAATAAATAAACAATATAAAAAGTATACATAAAATAAAATTAATGGGCCTGTATAAGTCCACAACAAATTGAAATATAGTCCAAAACGCGTTTCGCCAAAATCCTGGCTTCCTCAGTTGGTTGGTGAATAGTCCGCCTCCATAATTGATTGATTGCGTCCATGTGACCGGAACGCACATTCCGTACAATGGAACACACGTTCCGTCCGGTCACATGTTCTAACACCCGCGAACCCGGAAGTGCAGTTCCCGTGCAATCATGTGATTTAACTTCCTATCTTGTGGAACGCATTCATGCGTTCCTCCTTCATTATAAGGTCCTTATAGGTATATGACAATCTTATTTTTGTCCTTGCAGGTTATAAATATTCCCTCACAAAAGAAAAAATTGTAAACAACAACAGAAATATAACTTATCACAAATATAAGTTAACCAGTGACCACCCTTAAAAATATGGACGAACATATGAAAAAATAGTGGGGTGAACATATTAATTACATCAAAAGAACACTTATTTTACCATAGTGTGACTATGACATTACATTTATATATAAATATAAAAGGAACATATGTGTAATTTTTAGATATGCTAGAGAGAAAAAAATATTGGAGGGGAAGAAAGGCAAATGAGCCATATAAAAAATACTAACATTAAAATAGTTACTAAAATAAAAACCTATGTGTCCTATTTTATAAAAATACCTAAAACAATATATAACATAATCCATTATATAAAATGGTGCAATTCAACATATGAGAAAATCCTTACATGTATAAAAAAGAGAAAAAAAAATATATGTATACACTTATTTCTAAAAATCTGTAAAAATATATAATCTAATCTATTATAAAAAATGGCACAATTAGAAGTCGATGTTTAAGCCGTGAGGTGCTGGCTCTACTCTTGTGAGTTGGCTCTACTCTTGTGAGTTGTGAATTACCACTTATTTCCTGTTCACATTTATGTACAGTTCATACCATCTGCACTATGTGTATGTTATATATTATTTACAGATCACTGTAAAGGCATACCATTGAATATATCTGCTATATACCCAGGTACTTTAGAGCTCCACTTATACTCTTTATTCTAGACTATTGGTGTTTGAGAAGGTTAAGGGGATCCTCCACATAAGTGTTGAGCTTAGTCTGTATTGTTTATGTGTGCACTTTTTTGTTTAATAATACAGCACTAGCGTTTGCCCTGACAGCAGGTACCATGTCTTCTGTCCTGTACCTGGCAGCGCTGCAGCACCCAGCACATAGCCCAGCATCAGAACAAGCTCAGGTTATATGTTGGGAACACGCATTCCAACTGCCGAACATTTCTCTGTTTGACATGAAGATTAGACGTATAACGGGGAGACATCCGCAGTTCCTACTTTTGCTATGCAAATGACATTGGTTTTTAATTAATTCAGGGTCATCCACTAAAGCTTCCATTGGTAGAAATGAAAATATTTGGCAAAAATAGGGATTTTCTGAAATCTGAAGCACCTCATCAATTTGGTTCAGTTCGGCATTTCGGCTATTCGGCAATTCGACAATTCGACACATCTTCAATTTGGTTCAGTTCGGCAATTCGGCAATTCAGCTATTCGGCAATTCGACAATTCGACAATTCGACACATCTTCAATTTGGTTCAGTGCATCAATTCGTCAATTCAGCAATTCAGCAATTCGACAAGTCGACACATCTTCAATTTGGTTCAGTTCAGCAATTCGGCAATTCGAAACATCTTCAATTTGGTTCAGTTCGGCAACTCGGCAATTCGACAATTCGACACATCTTCAATTCGGTTCAGTTCGGCAATTCGGCTCTTTGGCAATTTGAACATTTGGAAGTATCCGAATGTCCGAAGTGCCCAAAATTCTTCCAAATGTACATTCGGAACGAAATGAATTGCACATATTTACCACAAATAAACTTTATCAGGCTCTTGTAATTCAACCACATAATACCAGAGGCATGTTTGCTCTTATTTTAGAAAAAAACAAAAACTAATTTTATAATTAAGTATGTTGAATTATTATTACTTACTTTTTAATGGCAAACATTGCAAGGCCAATACGAACTCCTCTTAATTTAAACTGGGCATTCAATATATCAATGTTATAGGTACCATTCCAAACAATAGGGGCAAGCCACGGTGTCATCATCACCACATCTGCTCTTCTATAATATTGAAAATACACGCAGAGTTAGACATTTTTACCCTCTGTATGAAATCACTGATTTATTGATTCAAGTTTTTAATGATATTTCTGGTTCAATAACGGAAAATATATTAAAATGTTGTAACATTATCTAATTTTTTCAAGTTTTTCTTCTTGCAGTTGGCAAATATATTAATTGTTATTATCCCAGAATACCATGTGAAGTATTCAAATAAGTACAGAAAGAATTTTACTTTTTTACATTTTTAAGGCATTTGTTTGCAATGAAATTCAGAACTGTCAGAATTTGCCATTCTGTATTTACTGTATGTGAAATTACTGAATAGACCAGTAGACAGGAAGAAACTTAGTTTGTCAAAAATGTTCTATTTAGCATAAATACAATTTTTTAAACCGGGTTCATTAATTCAGTTATAACTAATTGCATCAGGCCATTAACAAACCAACAAATCACAGTATGCTGAAGGCTCTCTTTAAGTCAGAAGAGGCATATAGAAGCTTTTGCTACATTAATATGCTACATTAAAAGCTCCTCTGTTTTTGAGCACACTTGCCAGTAGACTGGAAGATGTGATTTATTTATTAGTTATGTGATATCTGTTGTCACATATTACACACAGAGCCAGAAGAAACTCCCCTTAGCTGAGAGGCGTGTCCAACAATGCAATCTTACCAAGTTTTAAGTAATTTTTAAAAAACATTTCTTACATACTCTTTACATTTTTTCCCCCTATTTTTGGTTTGTATGTTCAATTAATTAAAAAAGTGTTTGCTTTTAGGGTTTAAAATGTTTTATCATCAAGTGATGCATGTCCTTTTCTTATTAGCGGTTCCCAGCTTTGTAAACTAGACAAGGGAATTGCAAAATTTAAGCCTTAATAAAAGAGCTTGGAAAGTCAAAGCTGAAGATATGTTTTAAAAAATCAGAACTGATAGGGGCGTGGCCAAGCAGTTTAGTTGAATGGCCGCATTATTTCTGAGCTGCACTTATTTAACCCATATTTGGGGCAGCACAGCTCGATCTGGGCGACTACCGGTGCAGGAGTGGGGTATAGGAAACAAAGTGGGTTGAAAGACCAAAATTCAGAAGCCTGAAAAACCTTGAATGGGCCTCAACATTAGAGACCTTCTGCGTCAGGCACAAGGTGCGAGTGGGCCCAAAATGGCCGACTACCCCGAGGCCTACTCAGACCTGTTGGACGAGCTGTCTCTGGGGGAGGAGGAAGGTGCTTTGCTGGCCAGACCGGCCCCAACATCAATAGTTAGCAGCCCTGACAAATCTCCAGTCACGACAGCGGTGTTTAAAGACCTGCTGGCAGACTTACAGAAAAATATCCTATTCAACGTGACAACTCTGCGCGCTGGTCTCCAGGGCTTAACAAGCCGGCTTGCTATGGTGGAATCCATGACGGAAGAGCACACACAACAACTATATTCTATGTAGCAGACAATGCTGGGGCTCCAAAAACAGAACAGTTTTGATGCGCTGTAAGACATGCGGCGCAAGAAAAGCATTAAAATACGGGGCATCCCAGAGGACGTTCCCACAGAGGAATTGCCACATATGCTGAGACGACTCATTGCAGCATTGTTATCCCCGTGGACGGCCAAGTCAGAGGGCCTGGAAGGCTGCTTCCGCATTCCCCAAATCACCAAAGGCTCCTGCAGCAGTTCCACGGGACCTGATAGTCCACTTCTACAATGGCAGGGATAAAGCAGCAGTTCTAACTGCTCTAAAAGACCAAGCTCTTTATACTTTTGAGGGAATTTGGCTTACCTTTTATTCTGACCTGTCAAGAGGCACTTTGGTGTGACGGAGGTCCCTCAGAGTATTCACAGCTCTCCACAGGAAGCACAACATTCAATACCGCTGGCGACTGACCGTAGGCTGATGATCTTTCACGGAAACTCCCAATATACTGTACATGATCTGACCAAAGCCACAACCTTATTAGCTACATTGGAACTCCTGCTGGATTCATTGGCGCCAGTAAGACCTCAAGCAGCTGGATCCGCAGCCCACCATTAGGACCCAATGAAGGTGACAAAATTCGTTGCACGGATGTCTCCACTGGCTACATATGCAGCGGTCACCAACTTAACTCCCGAGTGAGTCATGATATGCTTACTTATATCAGCCTTGTTCTGTTATGTTTATTAGTGATGTCCCGAACGGTTTGCCGAACGGTTCGCCGCGGACTCATCATTGAGTAAACTTTGACCCTGTACCTCACAGTCAGCAGACACATTCCAGCCAATCAGCAGCAGACCCTCCCTCCCAGACCCTCCCACCTCCTGGACAGCATCCATTTTACATTCAATGTGAAGCTGCATTCTTAGTGAGCTGTCCAGGAGGTGGGAGGGTCTGGGAGGGAGGGTCTGCTGCAGATTGGCTGGAATGTGTCTGCTGACTGTGAGGTACAGGGTCAAAGTTTACTCAATGACGAGTCCGTGGCGAACCGTTCGTGGCGAACGGTTCGCGAACCGTTCGGTGGACCGTTCGGGACATCACTAATGTGTATGTTTTCTCAATTTTCCTACTCCTAGTATTGTTAGTTCTTAACACAACATGGAAACAATTCCTCACTCTGTATGAGACTATGCACAATTGATGGCTTGTTTAGTTTCGTTCCTGTGCTCTTTACTATCACCACTGCTAGTGAAAATATAGAGAAAAATATAAAAGTTTGAATACGTAAAACTCACGGTGGGGTAAGAGCTTGTGGCTTCTCATACAACATTCTGAAAAAAAATAGATTGTATTTTAATTAAGATTTAAAACTGTTATTATCACAAATGAGATCTATACATATATTGGTGACATTTTGCAGATGTTTTATTTTTATAACAAATTTTACCAATGCATAGAAGAATCATGGCTTTGGTGATATGTATGTTTGTTTGAAATAAAGAGACACTTACAGGGCTATGCAAAAAGTGAGAATTCGAAGTGAATTCAAAGTAAAATAAAAATTTAAGGTAAAAATAGCCAAACTCGACTGAAAGGAACACCCCAGACCCCTAAAGCACCTCAGCTTGATGTCAATAGAAATTGGTTGTTTTATAAATTAGCCTTGATATACCCCCTGGCTATCTGGCTGTCAATCAGATAACAGATATTGTTAATTCCTGGTTGTTTAGCTCAGTGAAACTAAACTCAAGAGGCAGCAATTGCCCAGAGCTCCTGCCTTGCAAAGACTTCTCATTGAGCTGCATTGGGGAGTCTGTGATTGGACAGCCACAGAAAGTCTGGACAAGAGATATGCAGCTTTTGCAAGCTGTTTTAAGATGTGACACCAATAAAATGCATAACTAAATGCATGCATGTTTTCATTAGGTTATATCTACTAAACAGTGATTATGTTATTTCTTATATAATATAGTATAATATATATATTTGGGCAGTGAAGTGTCTCTTTAAATTTGAAATTCACTTTAAATTTTCACTTTAGTAAATATCACTGTTGTCTGTATCTTAACAATGCAACCATTAAATAAATGACTGTGGAGTGATCACACTAAACAAATCAAGCTGACTATATATTGCTATTGTAATAAAAAAAGTGCATGGGTAGCAAAAATGTATCACACATGGGGCAACCTATGCAACTGCATTTGACCTAGCGAGTTTCATAATACAGCTGATGGGATCTGAAGCTGTCTCTTTATCAGCCAGGTCTTAATAAACAAATGTTGCAAGAAGTGCAGAAGGTCCGTGAGCAGCCTTTTTGTGAGCTGGTCTATACACCAACCATTTTCTTTAATTTTAATGGTACTGGCCCTAAGGCCAACATATTTTTCACCATTAAGAAGTGCTGTACCGGACGTACCCTGCACGTTTGCCGCTAAAAGGACCCGACAGTACTCACCTGGACCGGCGATCCCAGTCCAGGGGACTGCCATAGACCCCAGCAGTTTCCTTGCAGCATCTACATCCTCTCCGTCCCTCCAGGGCCATGTGATCACTATGATCACATGGCCACAATGGAAGTCTATGACTTTTAGTCCCCTGACACCTAAAAGTGTAAATAAAATAATAATTATAAGTGTATTTTGAGATATATACACATATACATACGCATTATATATGTATAATATGTTATGAAATGCTTTAATTATTTTATAATATATTATAGATAAATAGGAAATAAAAACATGTGCGTGTGTGTGATAATTATATATATATATATATACATACATACATACACACACACGTATTGTATATGTATATGTGTGTGTGTATTATATATATTCTTACACATATATAATATACATTTAAAAAATACATTATATTTATTTATATGTATTAATATACATATATATATATATATATATATATATAAAAAAAAATATATATATACACACACACATTCTACATTCTATATGTAATGTCTCACGAGTACAACAGTACCCCTCAAGTATAGGTTTAATGGTGATTTGGAAAGTTACAGAGTCTGTGGGCAAATGGATTGTGGGCAAAAAAACAACACTACGTTTAAAAAGTGCCAACTCATATTTCTGAGAGCTTTAACCAGCTCCAGGTAAAACAGCGTACAGTGTTGTTTAAACTCCCCACATGTAGGATATTCCTCTGATGGTATTTACGGTGTAGATCACATGACATAAAATCACAAGAGAAGGCCCATTGTGCTCTCTATAAGTAAAAGTGCTGGATGTAATAAGAAATGTACTTACAATTTTCAGAGCAGACAAACCGCACTATATACCAGGTCTTTGTGGAACAATCCCCACCTAGGATTCTTTGGGTGATGGTGCTGGAACTTCAGTTTGTAGGATGTGCCAGGTAAAAGTGAATGTAAAAATATATAGACTAAAAGTAGAGAAACTAACCAAGGTATATAGATGTGACGGACTGCCTGGCACCCCGACCGGGTACCTCCGTCAATCATTGCTTCCTACTACTTGCGAGTACCATAAGCACTGCGCTGGAAAACCATAGCCACCATAAACCCCACGAACCGCCGCAGCTTGGTTGGGGTATCGCCGTCCTCCACCCACCCTGGACCCGAGACCAGGATCCAGCTTCCAGTAGGTAGACCTCTCCTAGTCCTCTCCTTACAAGAGCTTAGTGATTATACACAGGGGACTTTAGTGATTATAGCAATCCCCAGAGTGAATGTTCTCCAATCCCCCAAACATTAGCCTTGACTTCATGAAGGGTAAAACAAGTCTGTTTAATAGAAGCCACAGGTGGCCTTTTATGCAAGTCCCCAAGCAAGGTATACGCCCACATGGACCTTGTGGGGGACAGGGACACAAAGCTTACAAACCAATCAGAACAGTAATTAAATGTACAACACAAAACAATATTCAGAAATAATGCTCATTTTAAATTTAAAAGTAAATGAAAACAATTTGGTGATAAATTCTAAATGTATAATTGTGGTATTGGTGTAAAATGGTTAGAATAATTAGAATTGGTAACATGAGCGATATGTCACGAAATCTCGGCAACCGCAAGTGGCTGAGTAATATCATAGACTGATATAAGTAACAGAAGGACAGAGATAAATCATATGGTTGATGATTAGTTGGAAGAAGGATATAAACAATATAGATGCGGCCGGTAGAAATACTACGGTAGCCACGAGGTGAAAGGAAGTATGGGAAATTCCGTTCATGGCGAACCATTCGGCGAACCGTTCGGGACATCACTAACAGTGATTGATCAAAAAAAAAATGTCATTATACCCCCTGGCTTGAGAGTGCCCCAAAAAGCCAGTTTTTAAGACTAAAAAGAAATTGCGATATACCAGAAGATTTTGATGAACAAACCACCATTTAAAAAAACAAGTTTTTAGAAAAAAATAATTTGGAAGATATGTTAAATTCTATAATCACGAAACTAAAATCCAATGATAGAAATAGTCTTCTCACATATAGAGATCAAAGTACCAAAAAGAAAAAGACCAACACATCCATTCTAATTATATTCGACTATAATAACAAAAATAGAGATATCAAAAAAATAATCCAAAAACACTGGCATATCCTATTACAAGATTATTCTAAAGAAGATCATCCCTATAAAACCAAATATTATCTTTAGAGGTGCCCCCATTTTCAAATCCCTTCTCCCCAAAACCTATACAAAAAACAAGACAACCAAACCCTCTACCCTATCAAATGTTAAAGGTTTCTTTAAATGCAGAACATGTATTGTTTGTAAAACTACACAAGGGTCAGTTCCAACCAAAACCACTCAATTTAGATCAAATGTTACTAACAAAACATACAATATAATGGACTTCATTACCTGTAACAAAAAAAAATGTATTCTTCTTATTGGATTTCCCTTGTGGCCTCCAATATGTGGGCATGACATCCATACGGTCTCCAAACATTTTTTAACATATCATCAAAAAAATCCATGTGCTTTAAAATTTACAGCTATCCACATATGTGCAATCCCATGGAGAGGAGGAGATATAAAAAAGGTTTTAGGTAGAACCGAAATGGAATGGGTTTTTAATTTAAAAACATTATTACCAAAATGCTTGAATTTTGATTTTAATCTTTTAAATTTTTTATAACTTATATATGTGCTAACCTTCATTATTCTATACACTATTGTATATGTAGATTATATTTGTTTTTATAAGTTTATATTATTCTGTGTACAAATTGATGTCTTAATAGTTCTGTCCCTTTATTTATTTTTATGGAGTTCTATTTTATTACCATATCTGTTTCACATCATTTGCCTCTTTATTTCCCTTTAATTTAGGCTTAAATCGCCTTTTCTATCACTATCATAGAGAACCTTTGCACTTGCCTACATTTGCCCTTATCCAAAATGGCCGCCCCTTTCCCATCATGTCCTGTAACTCAGACGTGATTTCGTCTAAAGGGACTACATTTCCCATACACCCTTTTACCTCGCGGCTCCCGCGGTGTTTCTGTATTGTTTATATCCTTCTCCCAACTAATCATCAACCATATGATTTATCTCTGTCCTTCTGTTACTTATATCAGTCTATGATATTACTCAGCCACTTGCGGTTGGCGCGATTTTGCGACATACCGCTCATATTACCAATCCTAATTATTTTATACCAATACCAATACCACGATTATACATTTAGTATTTATCACCAAAATGTTTTCATTTACTTTACTTTGCATTTTTAACACACATACAAATATAAATGCTAAGTTTGACCAGTGCTTGTGACTAAGTGGCTACTACAAAAGACTGGACATACCCCATTTTGAATACCCTGGGTTGTCTACTTTTTCAAATGGTATGTCAAGGTAGGGTTGTTTTTAATTTCTGGGTTGCCATACCGTCTCAAAGGCAACAATCTGGCAAATAGCAATTTTCAAAAATAGAAATTGGCAAATCTTATGTTTGACCCTGTAACTTTCCAAATCACCATAAAACCTATACTTGAGGGGTACTGTTGTACGTATGAGACATTACTCTACACAAATAATTTTTATTTTAGAGCAGTAAAATGAATTATACTGATAATATCATCGGTGAAATTCAGTTTATGTGTAAAAAATGCAAAAAACAAATACAAATGCTAATTTTGGCCAAGGTTTGTGACTAAGTGGCTACTAAAAAAGAGTGGACATACCCCATTTTGAATACCGTGCGATGTCTATTATAAAAAAAAAAAATGTTTCAAAAATGTTTCAAAAATGTTTCAAAAATGTTTCAAAAATGTCTGTGAAAATTCCAAGTTGGAAAACTGGAATGTGCACCCTCCAAATAAGGTCTTTTAGCTCCCAGAGAAACCGACACACCTATACATGGGTGGTATCACTGTACTCAGGAGATGTTGCTGATTACATATTGGGGTGTTTGTCAGTAACACATAACAGAAACTGAGAATACATGCCTAAAGTACAATGTGAGAGAAAAATAACACAAACAATGTACTACCCAAAGGTTTGGGAAAGACTGGTGGTAGAATTAGTGCACGGAAAGTGTTAATGTACCCCCACTTGAAAAACCTAGGGTGTCTACTTTTCAAAAATATATGGTTCAATGGGGGTAAATTACAGTGGCTGGCTGAAAAAATGTCCCAAATAGGACATGGGTGCATGATGACATGAGTGGTATCACTGTACTCGGGAGATGTTTCTGAACACATATTGGGGGTGTTCTTTGGCAGTATCCCTTAAAGTTCTCAGTACATGTATTCTTAAATTGCTATGTGTGTCAAAAAGAATCACCATTAATTTTTTTTTTAAATTTGGCATTGATTGGTGGTAAAATGGTTGCATGAAAAGAGCATGAATAGAGTCAAAATACGCAAAGTTTAATACCTTGGGTTGTCTTTGTTTAAAAAATATATACATGTGAAGGGTTATTCAGGGATTCCAGACAGATATCAGTGTTACAATGTAACTTGCGATGATTTTGAAAAAAAAAATGGTTTGGAAATAGCAAAGTGCTACTTGTACTTATTGCCCTATAACTTGCAAAAAAAAGCTAAGAACATGTTAACATTTCTAAAATCAGGGCAAAATTTTAAAACTATTTAGCATGGGTGTTTTTTGGCGGTTGTAGATGTGCAACAGATTTTGGGGGTCAAAGTTAGAAAAAGTGTGTTTTTTTCCTTTTTTTCATCATATTTTATAAAAAGAATTATAGTATTATATGATATAATAAAAATAATGTTATCTTTAGAAAGACCATTTAATGGTGAGAAAATCTGTATATAATATGTGTGGGTATAGTAAATGAGTAAGAGGAAAATTACAGCTAAACACAAACACTGCAGAAATGTAAAAACAGCCCTGGTCCAAAACAGAAAATTGAAAAACTGTCTGGACACTAAGGGGTTAATTTTTTTTTTTTGAATTTGAACAAGTTTATCCTCATACAGAAAAATGGATAAATGGATTGAGCGCCAATATGGACCTGGTGTGTTTTGTTTAAATTTACATATGGCTAAAAATATAAAAGACATGAATAAAAAAGGTGAACGGTCAATATTTTGAATTAATTAATTTCTGAAGATATCAACACATTTCGTATTATATTGTATGTAAATAATTTAGAAAAAATTTATAAAATATTTGAAAAGAAGATTATTGCACTTTTATCAATATAAATACAGTATAATTGCAAAATCAATAAATTATTAACTTAATGCACTTAGTACCGTTGGAACACACGTGATTGATTTGCAGAAAATGGGGATGGAACGATTGGGATCAGACTGGAGGAGGGTGTTGACCTAATTAAAACAAGTACAGGCAAAGGATAGGATGGACATTGTGGAGTTGCAGGACACACTCACTGAAACATCAATGGGAGCGGGGATTTTGGAATATTTAAAGAGGAACTCCATCAGGAGAGTTTATGACATGAGTGGTTCGGCTTTTTATTTTGCATGTGATTTTATTTTGTACCTAAGGAAGTCTTAAACAGGAAGATATGTGTTGGACCAATATTTTTTTAGATTCCTTTATTATGTATTAACATAGTTTTGCAATAAATATTTGCAACAACAGTGCTCTAGCAGTTTGAAGTTTCTGAGAGTGGCTGGAGAGTTCCCACCCTCAGACTACACAGTCGTTTGGGGATAGTGGGTTCTGAGCAGATGGTCCTTTGTGGGACTGTTAGGAGGCATAGCTTAGACACACCCTAGAACGTAGATCCACCCTAGCACAGAGACACACTCTAACACACAGAGACAACTACTAAAATGCATTCAGACACAGACTAGCAGAAATTCATAGATACACACCATAGAATACATACATAAACACATACACACAAAAGTGGAAAAGCATGAGCACACAAACAAACTTAGTTACACATGTATAAACACAAACTAACATCCATCCATAAATATAGACTAATATACACACAAGCTCAGTGATGGAAATACTGTTCGTGTGGCTGGTATGCAGAGGTGGTCCATTGGGTGATCCTAGGTGCATGTGCCTCTCTATGGTATTACTGAACAGAGGCTCCGTTGGATGCAGAGGACCTTTAACAGTGCTACTGGACTGCTGTTATATTCACGATGCTGGGAGGAAGTGAGTGTCTGCACACCCTCCCAGATACAGGGAAACAGACGAGCGGGAGGCAGAGAACAGGCAAAATTGGGGAGACCCACACTCCTATCAGACTCAGCCAGTACCATGACCCCAAAGAAGCCACCCTCTTTAACATAAAAGGATAAAATATAATAAATATAAAAATTAATACATGTATGTGTGTATCTGTGTGTATGTGTCTGTGTTTAAGTGTCTATTTGTCAATGTGTGTGTCTGTGTGTATGTGTGTGTAAGCATCTGTGTGCTTGTGTGTGTCAGTGTGTGTATGTGTCAGTGTATGTACTAAGCATGTGTCAGTCTGTTTATATGTATGTGTCAGTGTGTGCATGTCAGTATTTGTATATGTGTGTTTTGTGTGTGTGCCAATGTTTCTGTGTAATTATGCATGTATGTATATATTTTCATGTGTGGCAATATTTGTGTAGAAGTGCTTACATCCCAACAAGCAAATACCAACACTGCATGCAAACACACCTTTGCAATCAAACATTACACTCAAAAACACCCCTGTGCAAAAAATTATATACAAGCACCCCTTTATTCAAACAGCAGCACTACACACATTAGTACACTTGCATTGACAAGCTAATACTACATACAAACTCACCCCTGCATTCAAACACAAACACTACACACAAGTACACCACTGCAATCCAATGGCAACAGTACATACAAATACACCCCTACATGCACCCACATCCTCCATACAAAAACATGATTTAATTAAAACGCACAAACACTACTCATATACAATCCTGCAAGGGTGGGCAAATAGTAGATCCCCAGCTAGCATAGCACTGTGGGAGCTGTATGGCAGATGGAGATCTACCTTTGTGCCACACTTGCGCAGGGGGGCAAAAACAAATCTTGCACCATAGCCCTCTTTACATTAGTTCCACCACTTACCAAGTTATAATTTTATTATCCACCTATCTCCTTACTTTATAGAGGGCGGAAGTAGAAGCACTCTGTGCAGTCCCTGGTGTACAGTGTTGGAGCAACAGGAGAGATGTACACCGGGCAGCACTGCTTTCCCTCCTGCTACCCTCATCTTTCATGGTAGTGGGTGCCATAATATGATCACACAGCCACTGCTGTGATTCCCAGTGTTACTATGTAGCAGACAGAGTTATGGACAGTAATGATATTGTGGTGGAATCAGCTACACTCATACAAATAGTATAGTGTAGCATCAATAAATAATAGTACAAGGAATCATTTGTACCATACTCCTGGTGATTGCCCCAGTATATAATATCATTGTTTACTTTGTGTTATCAGATGTTAAGTTACCGTTGAAGAAGTTTTGGTTCTTGTATTTGGTCTGCACTGGATACACTGTAACAACAGGTTTAAAAATAATTATATGAGATATTAAACAAAATGCCCCATGACATCAGCAGCAAGCATTTGATGATATTGAAAAATAAACAGAAAGCAAATTAAATCAGAATATTAGTTTCATCATATTTTTCAGTCAAAAAGTATGATTTTTAACTCTAGTAGAATTCACATAAACTGCAAATATTCCAATTATTGTGTCAGTTACCATTTTGCACATTATGTAAATGAAAATGTTGGCCAGCCGTTGTGGACCTGTTTTGGATGTCTACTTGGTTAGCAGGATCCTCGTTGGCTGTATACACTGATCATCCACAACGATAAAACCACTGACTGGTGAAGTGAATGACTTTAATGATATCATTACAATGTCACATGTCAAGCGGTGGGATATCTTAGGCAGCAAGTGAATGGTCAGTTCTTAAATTTCATGTGTTGGAAGCAGCAAAAATAGGCAAGCGAAAAAAGATCTGAGCCATGTTGATGGCTGGACGACTGGGTCATAACAACACAAAGTAAATCAAGTCTTGTGAGATGTTCCCGGTTTGCAGTGGTTAGTACAATTGGTAAAGCAGCGTCAGGATCATAGGAGCCCAAGGCCTACTGACGCACATGATGGAAGGCTAGCCCAGCTGGTCAGATCATACAGAAAAGTTACTGTAGTTCAATTGGTTGAAAATTTTAGTGTTAGCCATGAAAGAAAGGTGTCATAACACACAATGCATTGCAGTTTACTACATATGGGGCTGCATAGCTTCAGAATGGTCAGAGAGCCCAGGATGACCCCTATCTACTGCCGAAAGCACCTTCAATGGGGATATGAGTGATAGAACTGGACCACGGAGCAATGAAAGAAAGTTGCCTGATCTGATTAATCAAATTTTCTTTTAGATCAAGGAATAGGTGGGTGCATTTGCATTGCTTATATGAGGAACAGTTGGCAGCAATATGCCCTATGGGACGAAGGCTGACTTAAACGATCTGTTGTTAATGTATTGGCCTCAGATACCACAGGACAGATTCAGAGGTCTTGTGGAGTCCATGTCTCGATTCATCAGAGCTGTTTTGGCAGTTTGAGGGGAACCTACATATTAGGTAGGTGATTTTAAGGTTATGGCTGATCAGTGTATATAATCCTATTGTGGGCCTCCATGCATCAACTATTAAAGTATAAATGGTTTTAAAGAGAAATAGATGAGACAAGAAGAAAATAAAAACAGATTCTGAAAGAGGAAGGCAAGAGGAAACAATAGGAGAAATGTAAGTTTGAGGGAACAGAATCACTTTAATGGTCGAGATTGCTCCATCTGTTCTCATGAGTATTCTTAATTTAAGGAAAGTCTAACGGGTTAAGGAAAGGAATGATATACAGAGTTGAACAGGCACCTGGATTGGTCATTAAACTGAATTAAAATCTTAGATTAGATAAGAAATATTTTATTTGCAGAACTGTAAAACTACTCACTCCTCTGCATTGCTTGAAAATAGTAAGACACGATGCCAAGCATTGGTTCTAGACGTGTACCTGAAGAAGAAAAAACACATTTCACTTTTCATTAAATGATTACTTTTGACCTAGAAGAATTAAACAGTGGATAGTGTACAGGACAAGCAATAAAAGTCTGAAAAGAACAGAAGTTAAACTGAAATCTGCCTGTGCGAGTCCTTTCAGTATTTGTTCTCCTTTTGTAAGCATGAATTAGGTAAATGTAAGTCAAAGCTTTGCCAAGAACATGGTGTCTAACATGCTTTTAAAAAAATAAGGAAGTGATTTTTGGCACAACGTTAGTAAATTGGCTCTGAAGTAACTCATCTTGGATGGATAAGGATGGATTACACAAATGTAAATTAAATCTTGAGAATGCCAAGAAAAAGCCAAACCCAACATGGTTTACACAAAATGAGAAAGTGCCTTTGGGCAAGATATATATAAATTGTCTGAAGTAATTTGTCAGACTGATTTTGACTTGTTCATGACATTCGTTATTATTAATACTATTGTTATTAGCATTTATATAACTTAAACATATTTTGCAGCATTTTACAATTATACAAAGGGGGTATTTAGAGTTGAAGATGAATCTGCTCAAACAAACTTACAATCTCTGAGTTCAGGGAAGCAAACTGACTTACATTTGCTTACCAAAAAATCTATAAATGAAAACTAATTTTACAGTGCCAATTAACGTGTTTCTTATGGCTTTTGCAAAGATTGAGTAATGTTGTCAGCAACATAGATTGAGACTGGGTTATTAAAGCTTGATCTACACAATTTAGTTCCTGAATCCATTGAAAGAGGAACTTCTATATGACATCTGTATGGAGACAAGAGATGAGATGTAAGTAACTTTAAGACCATGCTTGCACTTGCAAAAAAAAAAACAACCCTAAAATTCACCCTCAGAGCCAGTGCGCCCTAAGTCGGTAGTCTGTGCCACCTTATGGACGCGCCAGCCCTGTTGGGATAAATGTTTAAATCTTTTCAAATAGTTTTTATTAAAGAATTTAAGATTTTTTTTTTCAATAATAAAAACAAGGGAAACGTGGATAAGGGCATCCACCCAAAATTATATAGTTATACAGTGTGTATATGTGTGTATATATATATATTACATAAAACATAAAATATCAGAGTGTATCCATTAAGAATTATAACACATTATCACAACAGATAATTTGTAGTATGGTTCCATATTGCAAAGGATACGTTTTTCTCATTTTATCTTCTCACTCATACCAATGATACTTTAGTTGATATAAAGAGTCAAAGTAGGGACTACTTTGTCTCTGTATTTCTCCTTCATCTGACTTTTCTCGACCCCAGGTAGAGCCTCAGTGTCAATTCCTCTGGCTGTCATCCACCTCCAGCTTTGATGTCACCTTTGGGGGACTTTGAGAATTCGGCACAGTACCCAAACTGTGACAGTGCCACTTTAATCTGCCTTCACAAGTTTTCGCGTAATAAGCTCATCTGACCACAACATAATATAGACAAGCAAAAAGGGGATTCATATAACAGTAAAAAAGTTATCACCCACTATCAGCTGCTGGTGTGACTTGACAAGACAGCAGGCCTGGACCGGCAGTACTGTAAACTGGGGAAATGCCTGGTGGGCCACAAGAGTCTTGTGCCGATGACGACAGGGGAGATCAAAGTATCTCTGCTGCTAACCTATTCAGGGACAGCATTTATATTGCAAGAATATTCATAGAATGTTTACATGGTCCAAGCAAAGAATGGGCAGCATTTTGTCAACTGTTTAGTTTGTAACACACATCTGCAGTGCATCATCTTGGCCAAATATTACTTTATCATAGCTTGTTGTTCCATGTGCCTTCATTAGCATCATCCCTTGTTCAGCCTATATTTTTATGTATTGCCTACATCTTATATAGCTGTTTTTTCTTTCAACTCATCTGTTGGTATTTTGGATTTGATATTCAATGTTGTATGCATGCTATCCATTAGCTATATAGATTGAAGAGCCCATCAAATACAGCTTTTTAGTTCACCTAGTTAGGTGTGAAACCTGCAATTTGTATCTGTATGTACTATCATAAACATATTATTGATTGATCCATGTGTAATAAAGACCATTTTTTATTTTGTTTTGTTACTGGCACATCCAATATATACATATCCCCTTTTATAGATCCTAAACCTCAGTGACCCTAGGGCCATCGAGGTTTAACAAGGTGTTTTTTTGTCTATTGATATTGATTTAAGTCCTACCTCATACTATGGAACCTCTGGGTGAGGTTTTAATTAACCCATATGTTCATTTTCACTATACATAGTTACCATAAAGTAGTACTTTATCTGCTCTTTTCTACTTCAGCTTCTACATAATAAACCCTGTAGGCTGACCTACAAAGGCTTCTGTACAGTATGGCAGGGAAATGGCTTGGGAAGCATTTGCAATCCCTCTCAAAGCTGAGGCTTGGAAAATAAATTAATTGCTCTACTGAGTTGTGTTTAGTAATGTGTAAGAAATTGGGTGCATTTAAAAATTATATTTTCTATTTTAATTTATTGACATATGCTTTGTGAAAGTCAGTTGTGTAATAAGCTATCTGGTTTCACAATGGAATTCCATTTATATTTTAACGGAGGTTGTCATCAATGGGTACAAAGGGTACAAATCATGGTATCAGAAGATCAGAGTAATGAACATCTAGGTGTACCCACTGAAGTGTTTTTTTCCAAGCCATCCTGTCTCTAAAAGAAGTCCAGGCTTGCTCCCAACCTACCCAAAAACCAACGATAACTGGTCACATCTTACACAATGTTACAGTATAGCTGGAGGGAAGAGTTCAAAGGGAAAGACTTGTGTAAAGACAGAACTCTCTGGAAAAAGGGGGCTGGATAAACCACTTTTGGGAGGGAAAAGGGATTCAGGGACTTGTAGTTAATGACTGCAAGAATCAGTCTATAAAAGAACAACAGCCAAGGAGGTAGGGCTCCTCAACTCTCTCCTCTCTTTCTCTCTTTGTCTCTTTTGGAGAGGACAGCACAGCAAGCACAGGTGCCATGGTAAACTGAGAGAGACTGTTCCAGATTACCCAAGATGAAGGCGCAAGGGGAAGATCTTCATTTAAATGTTTAAGTATTGCCCTTTTCTATGTACCTTTTGGTTTTGTACTGTATTGGTTATAATGTGTATTGTGTAAATCCTTTTTAAATCTGTAACAGTATTCTAAATCAATATTGACAATACATTTTATTATACACTTGTGTTTGTGTCTTGTTTGTCGCACATTCCTTAAAATAATATCCTTGTAAGATGGTCATAATTTCTTACAATGTAGAGTAGGGCAAGATAAATGAGGCTTCATGGCTACGTTTTAATGACCTTGCTTTTCAAAAACACAAGACAACTTATTGCTTGTTAAATAACCACATCATTTTTTTTTTTTTTTTATAAGGTTACTTTGATGGCATGTGGTAAAGGTAGTATTCACTTACCTTTGTGGACTTCCCAAATAACCAGTCACAATTGATCACACTACTTTTACTGAAGTACTTGGAGGAAAAACAGCTGAACATATGGGAAAGCCTTCAGAACCAGCTATACTCACCAGATGCATGACACCGAGAATAGAAGCAGTACAAGTAAAAAGAACAGAATCCATTTTTTTAGATACAGGCTTGCCCTGCAACAGAGAAATGTTGAAGAAGTTACAATATCATCATTATATCAGAGAATGCTATCTGTTCTTACCTGTGTTAGGCTCTCTATAAAAGCAGTTCTAATTCCTTACTGATGGGTTACAGTAATACAGGCCTGATATGTCCAAATTGGCAAATATTCAGCTTGCCGGGCCCTAATTTGTGTTTAACAGATACATTAAATGCAATGTGGATGGCTAAAGAGCTCTTTGCTCTGTAGTACAACGTTTGCCATGCTAAGTGACTGCAATAATTTCAGCATCCACTTCTCAAGGGACATATCCTCGAGGAAGTCCAACCTCAAAAGAATGAAGACATTGTTTAATAATTGTGATAATCTGTTAAAAAATATATTTATTTAATTCAAAATGGATTAAAAAAGATTAATTAAATAAAGGAAACTGTAAAGTCTTAAAGACTCACAGATATGGTATAGAAGTGGTCCAAATGTAGGGCTATAGACTCATGATATTACTTATGTTTTAAGTTTTTCATTGACCAGTCAGTCAACCAGCCCCCAAACCAGGATCCTGCCCATTATACGCCCCTCTCATCTTTTGATAATCTTTTGCTTTGTTAGTACGCATTAGGGTTACAAAAGTAGCAGGGAAAGACAATGTTTTGTACATGTGTAAAAAAAACAAAAAACGAAACCGACGACAAATTAGTTCTCTCAGTGCAGTCCTCACCTAAAGATCTACTATGCATAACTAACAAAATACTGACATTTAGAAGACCTATAGAAGGACTTGGAGTGAATAATAAAAAATTTACTTTTATCAATATTATTTTAAATAAATGTAACACATTGAATAGGTAATTTTAAATTAAAAGAAAAAACAAACAAAAAAACTTAGGAACACAAACTCCTATGCTGAAGACTAGAATAGTATTTAGTTGGTTCAGCACAGCGACTTGGTATGCATGCGCACTTGCCTCCCACTGCTTTCCTGTGGGGAAGCATTGGGCTTGCTCAGATAATCAAGATTATACAATATGTATATATTTACTATATACACTATTTCCATACTTGTAGCTTCATTATCTGTGTTTTTTTTTTGTTTTTTTTTTCATTTAATAGTGTGCTATCTATGCATACAGAAATGATAAATACATTTAAACAATACTTCTCAGGACATCAAAATTACTCGGACTCTGGAAGTGTTTTTTTTTTTCCGTAGACTTATTGGTAGTGAAGGGGCTAATTTTAAAAATCACTTTGAATTCACACTCTAATAACTTATCTCTTGGGAATTCCTAGAAACTTTGTTAGGATCCATGGGCAATGTATTGACTAGTATGTTAATAGTACAGCTTTATATCTAATAAATCACAAAAAAAATGTTTATGTGTGATTTTGGAAAGTGCTACATTTGCTAAAGTCAAATCTGTTTTAAAATCAGTTATTCAATCAAAGAGGACATCTGATTAACCACTTCACTACAGAATTCGTGTATACACAATTCCCATGTTATGTACCACTATCCTGGAATTGTGTAAACATGATTTTCAATATTACAAATGACATTCGTTTTATGCAAACAATGTGTTGTTTTCAATTGGTCCCATTTGGGTTCCCAGACACAAAGACAATGCTACAATTACAGAGCTAGCTCTTCTGGGATGCAAGTGCCAGTGGTGAGATTTATATATCACTCTGGCCACTGCTTTTCTTGCAGGTCTGCACCTCCGGCTGGGTAAAGACCTGTTTCAACTCCCACATAACCACCAGGAAAACCATCTCTGGATAAATAAATAATTGCCTCCCTTGTCACCCAAAAATCAATCAGGAAAGGCTAACAAAAATGTTGCTCAGTTTTCGTGGTGACAAGAAACAGAAACACAGCCTCCCCACACACAGTCACCCCTCACACTCACCCTGCCATACTCACTCCTGTACCCTGCACCCTAATAATCCCATCACACATACCCCAACCCTAAAATACTTCCCCACCCAATTCTGTCACACTCACTCCGCCACACTTATTCTGTCACATTAATCCCCCTAACAGTGCACACACACACACACACACAGTAACTTCCCACAAGCAAAGAACAGCCTCACCATAAACATAACACACATCGACTACAGGTGATTGCAGCCCTTGTTTCGTGTGTGTGTGTGTCTCTATCTCAGAGGATTATAGAATATGTGGGGGAAATAGACTATGTTACATATTCAGGAATGTTATTTATAGCACTTTTTTATTCATTAATATACGGTATGTTATTTTTTGAACATTTTTCTGTCCATTATTTATTTCCATTATATAAAGTGCTACCCATGCATATTGAAATGAAAAATACATTATAACATTACTTTCCGGAGCTCTCAAAATTCTGAGATTCTATACATTTTTTGCAAACTGCTTGGAAGTGAAAGGGTTAAATGTCATCAGCTGTCTGCTCTAAAATAAGTAATAAAAGATGGATTAAACCCAATGGCCTCTTTTTTTAAAACTACATTACTATATGTAACTATAAATATATTAAATATTAGATTTAAATATTTATCAAATGTTGATTTAGCTTAAGTCACTCTGGACACATCTGGTAGAAGGCACATTTTCAAAATAAATTCTCCTGTGCTTTGGAGACGAACCTACGTAAATCCACAATATTTGTCCTGTGCTTGCACAATTAGTTGCATCACATATGGTAAAATAATACTTTAATATGATATAAATGTAATAAATAACATAAGTCAATTATTGATACAATATAAATTTAATACTATAACAAAAATATTTTAATTATTGTGGCATACTAAACTTAACTTTTTCTACCATGGAATTACTTGGCAATAGTGATGTCCCGAACAGTTCGCCCAACGGTTCGCCACGGATGGCGAACATATGCGCTGTTCGGTCCGCCCCCTATGTCATCATTGAGTAAACTTTGACCCTGTACCTCACAGTCAGCAAACACATTCCAGCCAATCAGCAGCAGACCCTCCCTCCCAGACCATCACACCTCCTGGATAGCATCCATTTTACATTCATTGTGAAGCTGCATTCTTAGTGAGCTGTCCAGGAGGTGGGAAGGTCCGGGAGGGAGGGTCTGCTGCTGATTGGCTGGAATGTATCTGCTGACTGTGAGGTACAGGGTCAAGGTTTACTAAATGATGACGAATAGGGGGCGGACCGAACAGCGCATATGTTCGCCATCCGTGGCGAACCTATCGGCGAACCGTTCGGGACATCACTACTTGGCAATATGGTGTTAATGGCAGCATTTTGTAATTATAGCTACAATTAGGATTGGCGTCTGCCTACAAGTTCAGTAAAACCAAATAGTTTTTCCTGCCACCATGTTAAATGTATAATTGTCTTCGTTAAGTGCTCAAAAATACAACCTTGTAACAATACACTAAGGACCATTCACTAAGCTCTGAATTGTAGCAAATCAATCTCTAACTTGTACAATTGGGTCTAAAATAGACAAGTTGTGACCAAAGCTAAGTTGGAAAATTTTTATCAGATCAGTAATTTTTGTTGAACGTTTGCAATTTAGATTTTAATTCGATACAGTTCAGAGTTTATTGAATAACCCTGACTTCGATGCAGAGTTCATGTATAAGACACATGAGACTTGGAGATAACATTGTTTTGTAATATAAAGTATGTTAAACTATTTCAATGCATGTGTTTTAATATGAAAAAAAAAAACAGGAAAACTAAAGGCATTACACCTGTTATTGTTTTTAAGGTACATTGGTTTAAAATCATTATAGTAAGCAGGACCAAGAATTGAAAACGTTTGCACGTTTGAAGTAAATGTGTCTCCACAACTTTGACAAGTGCATTTAAAATAAATTTTGGAGACAAAAATGACATTTATAAAAGCATACTTGTTGTGTGATACATTCTGTTCACTTTTTAGATAAAGTAGAAACTATATCTGCATGAGAAATACCATGACCTATTTAAGGTCAGATAACTTAAATAAAAATATATACATAATAAAAAATACTAAACACTTATATAAAAAACATTTTTTTTTTAAAAACTGAACTTATAAATGGTATGCATAAACACAAAAAATTATATAGCTCTAGCACGCACAATACAACTTACAGCCTTTCTTCTACTCAAATGTATTTTGCTTACTACGGCAATTCTTAAAAATACTGTAAGCAAAATATTTCACCCTTATGATGAAATTATTGAGTTTATCACATACTTGATATTTAGTTTTTTGTAAAATGCCAATTTGCATGCAAATGGTTCTGTCAGAATAAATGTGAAGTAAGATCTATACCATATAGATGTATTTAAAATATAAATTTGCTTGTATTTACATTATTATATTATATTTTTATGCATTTTTGAATAGAGATCTCTATATATCAAATTCCCGTTTTGCACTACATTTAGACATTTTATAAATGTTTCACTCAAATACAAGTCAGTAGTTTTTAAACGTTTATTATCTAACTATTTAACTATTTCAGACGAAAAATCTTGATTTGAAGACATCAAAGTGCTGCAGTGTAAACATTTTTATAGATAACGAATATCATAGACAATAATGAAATTATGTTGGAATCTGACTAGATATTTGGAGTTTATTAATAGCACAAGGAAATTTATAAAAACCTAAAATTCCTCTAAATTTGCAGTTCAGTTTTTTTTGGCCTGAAATGAACATTTTCTTGCAAATTCTCAGAAATGATTTTGTAAATTTACCCCATTTCAATATTAGCAGTTTATTCATGTAAATAAGAAAGAACGTTGTAATTAATCATTGAATGTTGGCAACAAACATTCTGTTCCGGTGGTGTTTAGTTAAGTACATATTCATTGTATTTTCTTTGCATATCGTACACCTTATATGCTGTGTATTAGAGGTTTCTGTTTTTAATAACACAGACATGAAAGTACTTACATTCTTCAATCTACGCAGGATAAAGGTATAACTAACCAGAGCCAGGAGAGGAAGAGATATACATTATGATGTTCTCGTTGTAATGCTGTTGTTCATTAATGAATTATTGTTTGCCTATGCTTATCATATGAATATCATACAGAGGAGGGTGGATCCAGATTTAGTAAGATTAATTATTATTATACATAGCACGATCTGGTGAAAAGTGTACAGAAGAATCAGCACTGAAATAAAGGCAGTGCACCTAAAGGATAGGGCTACCTTACAGGCCATATAGGTATAAGGAAGTAGAAAATGGTGGCACCATAGAGATAATCTGTACAATTAAATATAAGCAAGTAGTAATATAGAAATAAACAATGCTATATAATACAGAGAGAGAACAATAAAAATAATAATAGGTATATTTATATATATACACAGTATATATATATATATATTTATATATATATATATATATATATATGGTCCTACTCACATTTTTGAGAGCTAAAAACTAGTTCTAGTATAAACAGCATACAGTGGTATATTCCCCACTTATGAGATACACGAGGGAGTGTTGTAAGTAGATATCTCGTCAGATGGGGACCATATGTAACATAACAAACAATAGTGCTCACTGTGATAAAACCAGGAGAGTGTATAAAAATACTAAATGGCTACTCACATTTAATTGGGCAGACACAGTGCTCAGTGATACGGCGTAAGTGGTATAATCCCCACCAAGGATGCTTTGGAGTAGTATCTCTCTGGAACAAGTAAAACTCAGATACCAGATCATAAAATAATAAAATGGTAAAAAGGATTAAATACAGTTAGTTAAAATTTCCACAACATGTTTCTCCACTTTCCGCTTTCTCAAGTGGATAAAAAAAGCTGTTGCTTATCAACAAATTGTTTGCCCACGCCTCTCACATGAAAATCATAAAGATGAAGGAGGGCGGATCCAGATTTACTAATATTTAATATTATACATAGTACGATCTAGCTGACAAAATGTGATATTAAAATGAAACAATAATTTGTTAATGAACAGCAGCTTTACAACGAGAACATCTTAATGCAAATCTCTTCCCCTCCTTGTTAGGGATTAGACTGTAAAAATAATTTTCAATCTTTTATCTTATTACTGTGTTTCTTTTCAAATAGCTTTATTAACCCCTTAAGGACACAGCTTCAGAAGGTTGACTTACCCTGAAGGACACAAGCCATTTTTGCATTCTTTGCTGTTTGTGTTCAAACACAATTTGCATCTCTGTCATTTATTGCACCAACACATATTATATACAGTTTTTTTAGAGGGCAAACAGGGTTTTTATTTGATGTCACATATACATAGATACATTATCATTAATTAAAATATGTTTTTTCACAGTTTTGACAATAATAGTGTGTGCATATGTCCAGCTTAGAAAAAGTAATTCTAAATAAATTCATGTATGTGTCTTGATTCATAGTGAACATCATATGTATAGGATTTCAGCTTATTTTGAAAGTTACAGGTTACAAAATACAAGGACTAAAATAAAATTTCAATTTGCAAAAATTTTAGAAGTTGGTATGTTTGTCTTGTAGGTTTAGTAGCCATCACAGAAAAAAAAAATTGCCACGCAAAAGTATATATTTATATAAAGTAGACATCACAGGCTATTTACCTAAGGTTAGTTTGATACTTTTTATCACCAATCTCTGCTAAATATTGGAGTAAAATTATGTTTTTTCTTTATTTTGGCATATACACATATTACAAGGTTTTTGTAATGTGTATTTCATAAACCTAGTGTGTGCTATCCCTGTACAGAACCCCAAATTGTGTTCAGCTACATCTGCTGAGTATAATGATACCCCCATTGTATGCCTTTGGCACTATTCTGTAACGATACAATGCCATAAAAGAGAAAAGGCTATTTCAGTTTCTATAGTTAGAATTTTGGTAGATGGTTTTGACGGGCCTATATCTCAATTTAGGGTATTATAGCAGTGTGACTGTTTAAATAACCCCACAAAGGGCTTTCATTTGATAAAGCAGACACCCCAGGGTATCTTATATGGCGTATATTGTGCCTTAACTTGTCACCATTTTTTCCCGATTTATGTCAATGTTTGTGGTAAGGGGGAAAAATTGCATTTTTGCATATATGTTGCATTTTTGCTGAGTATTTCTGACACTTGATATGTACCACTGTGATAAAAAAAAACAAATTATGCTAAGTTACATCTTCTGAGTAAAACAATATACCCATTGTATGACCTGGACACTATTTTGTGAAGTTACAGTGCTGTAAAAGACACATGACAAGTTCAGGTTTTTAAGTGTGAATTTTCATGGAGGGTTTTGATGCGTTTGTGTCCATTTTGGAGCACTTGAGCATGCTACATATTTTAGCTACACCATAAAGGCATACCATTTCTTTAAGAAGACATCTCAGGGTATTTAAAAAGGCATATTTTGAACCTTGGCGAGGTATCATTTTTCCGCTAGCTTGTACCAAGTGTAGTGGTAATACTCATTTTTTCTGCCTTTTTGAAACACAAAGTGAGTTTCCACAGTATATTTTGCAAACCTTATGTGTGCAAGACTGTATAATACTACATATGTTGCTCAGCTATGTTGTCTGAGTACAGCAATACCCCTGTATGTACCTTTGCCAGGTATATGTGGATGTTGAAGGGGCACGTTTGAGACACAGCCATTCAGTTTTTTTTACAACTTTGAAGTTTTACGCTGTGTCCATGTTCCATTTTGGAGTAGTTTAGCTGGTTGGTTATTCAAACTTCCCCACAAACACATACTATTTATTAAAGAATACACCCCTGGGTAATTCAGAAGGCATATTTTGAACCTTAGCATGGCATCACTTTTTCTATAGTTTGTTCCAGGTGTAGTGTTAATGAGCATTTATAAATGCATATTTTTAAACTTTCTAAAACTCGTTTTTTAAACTTTTTTTTGCTTATTAAATTTTTTAGACTTTCTTAAAATTACTTAAAACTTTTTACACATTTAACATTTTTATAAACTTTTTTTACCGTTAACCCCTAACTAGCAGTAAGCAGCACTAACAGTAAATTTCCCAATTTAACATAACTCCCACCCACCACAGCTAGCAAAATATATCATTTTAAAATATTTAAATTAATTAATGAAATAAATTAAACCCATGAGGGTTAAAAATAAAAATTAAAAGTTAACCTCCAGGGGTTAAAAAAAAAAAAAATCAGATTACAGTATAATACTGTGATCTGTATTTTGATCACTGTAGGTAGTGATCAACTGGCAGGAAAGGGGTTAATTTTTATTAGGACTGGGTAAAGGAGGGTGGGATTTTTTTTAAACGTTATTAAAACATTTTTGTTAACTTTTTAAAACTTTTTTTTAACGTTAACCCCTAGCTAGCCTAACACCAAATTCCCTAATTCCCCACTAACATCCACCCACCCCAGCTAGCTAAATATATAATGTTAATATATTTAAATTAATTAATAAAATAAATGTAACCCTGAGTGTCACAAAAAAATAAAAGTTGACCCTCAGATCACAGTAAAATGTAGTCCCTGCCAATTGATCACTGTAGTCAGTGATCAATTGGCAGGGAAGGGGTTAATTTTTATTTAAAAAGGGTACAGGGGGTTGGGATTTCAAACTATTTTTTTTAAACAGGGAGATCACTGCTGATCCGTCTCCCTGCACTTCACACAGAACAGAAGAGCAGGGAGGCATTTTGTGAGTCCCTGCAGCACATGTGCTCGCTCTGGCAGCTTGTGTGCAATCGGGTGCAGACCGGAGGAGCGTTAACTCCGCGATCGCAGTGAACTGGGGTTAACTTTAGTGCATGACAGATCTGGTCCGTCATCCGGTGTTAAAGGACCACTATAGTGCCAGGAAAACATACTCGTTTTCCTGGCACTTTAGTGCCCTGAGGGTGCCACCACCCTCAGGGTCCCACTCCCGCCGGGCTGGATGGAGAGGAAAGGGTTAAATCTTACCTTTTTTCCAGCACCGGGCAGGGAGCTCTCCTCCTCCTCTCTGCCTCCTCTCCTCCTCTTCGGCTGAATGCGCATGCGCGGCAGGAGCTGCGCGCGCATTCAGCCAGTCTCCTAGGAAAGCATTCATAATGCTTTCCTATGGACGCTTGCGTCTTCTCACTGTGATTTTCAGTGAGAAGCATGCAAGCACCTCTAGCGGCTGTCAATGAGACAGCCACTAGAGGCTTTAGAGGCTGTATTAACCCTATTATAAACATGGCTGGATTAACCCTATTATAAACATAGCGGTTTCTCTGAAACTGCTATGTTTATTAAAAAAAGGGTTAATCCTAGAGGGACCTGGCACCCAGACCACTTTATTAAGCTTAAGTGGTCTGGGTGCCTAGAGTGGTCCTTTAACTGCTTCCCCGGCATGACGGACCATGTCCGTCATTTGGCTGTAAGGGGTTAAACATTTTTTAGAATCTAACAAAAGTAAACATGCTGAGAAGATAATAAATGGAGAAAAAGAAGGAATTTTTTTCAACTTTCCTAACAATGTATATACACGCATATGGCAATATTTCACAATAAATATACAGTATGGTCATTAAGCTCTGTTTCTAAGTCCAGTAATCACATCATTTCTTAGATTTTGTTTACCCTCTATATTACACATGGGGTTAGTCACTACGGTAAGTGTTGTTGGGATTCTAAACTGAATTCAAAGTGAATTTAAAATGTAAGGCTAAAATAGCAAAACTGGAATAATTTCCCAAGGCAGCTGTGCTTCCAGTTTGGGAATCTTGGTCTTATATTTGAAATTCACTTTGAGCTGATATTGACAATTCTCACTTTAGTGAATAAACCTGGGTATGTTTCTTAACATACCTAACAACATTAATGTACATTTTCTGCTACACCGACAATGAAAATGTTCAGTAAATACTTTCTTTTATCTGCTGTCTCCAAATAAGATAAATCTCTTCTGAAAGCATAGTGTGTTAAAAATATATCATTTCGGGGCGGAGCTAGCAGCGGAGCAGAGCGGTCGCACTCTCCAAGAGCTCTCCGATACGGACCGCAAACGAAGCCTTATATCAGGCGCAATCCGGAGACTACCCGGGCTCAAACACCCACACCCGGCACAAGACTAGCCATGGGTCGCAAACATAAAAAAACCAGAGCAGATAAAGACCCGGCTACCCACGATATCGGGGAACTGCTCCTACGGTCGCAAAAGGCCGCATGGGACAAGATGGCGGCGGGAGACGACGACTACTCACTCTCCTCCGGTGATTTCTCTATAGACCCCAGAGAAGGTATGGCACAAGCCCCACCACCCAACCCAAAGCGCCCACAAGCAACTGCAGAGGATCCTGTCACAGCCTCTATTCTCAAGAGCATGCTGGCAGAGCTTAGATCCAATATAGCAGCAGACATGGCCGGTATAAAAGAAGCAGTGGAGGGGGTCACTACCAGGGTACAGCGACTGGAGGCCTCAACTTCCTCCCATGAGGCAAGGATAGCGTCCCTGGAACAAGCACTAACTGAGGTGCAATCCCAGCAAAGCATAGCAAGCAACCGGGTAAACACCCTTGAGGACCTCAGACAACGCTATAATATCAAGATCCGTGGCATACCCGATTCAATAGGCCAGACAGACCTACCGCACTTCATTAGGCGCCTACTGGCCGATCTACTGCCGCCCAAACAAGCAAAAGCAGTGCGACTAGATGGTATGTTCAGACTGCCAAGGCCCGCAACAGCACC